TCCGAAGTTGGGGAGCAGGAATTCTACGCGGGACTATCTGGAATGCAGCTGAGGTGGATGGAGCGGGGAGGGTGATTGTCCATAAAGGCCAACCATAACTCTTCCCTCCGCTTCCAGGGACTACCTTCTAACTGGGAAGTGTGGAAAATCCCTCAAATTGGCACTCTCCTCTCCCGCGAAGAGGCACGGGCTTCCGAATGTTCTACCCTCTGACGATCCAGTTCGATCTCGACTTCAGTTCAGCGGACGTCAGATCTGTCTCCCAGAGTTGCCCCTCTGGCCACAGGTGACCACCAATGGCCTCCATTACCTACAAGTGCAAACACCATTCAACTAGGCCGCCAGGGGGCAGTACAGAGTTGCATTTGCACCTTGTTACTCAAAGTGTGGTCCGTATGTTGGCGGCTGCCACAGCACCGCCTGGGAGCTTGTTAAAAAAAAAAAAAAAATGCCTCGTTTCTGGGGCAGCCCAGACCTGATGAATGTGAATCCACATTTTCACAAGGTCCCTGGTATTCTCTGCCCATCAAAGTCTGAGAAAGTACGTCCTTAGCCCTCATCATCTGGTTCAACCTCACCTGCTGAGAGGCTTGCACTCAAACTACTACACATGTGGGCAAGCAGAGAAGTCACTTCCCCTTGGTCTCTGGCGCCACTGGATTCTAAACTGCACACCCCTTCCCTCCTACTCCGTCTGGGCTATTTTGACATCCTTACCAAGCCTCCGACTGGAGTTTTGCAGCCCTGCTTCCTTGATTGCTGCTGCCCCTCCTGGGAGCCAGCTCCTTCCTCCAGCATCCGGTATCCCCTGTGGCTGTCCAGAGGCTGTGGCAGGGCAACCGGGGTCCCTGAGTTTAGGTCCAGCCCCTCCTTCTCCCTGAGACCTGGGGCTGTTCCAGGTGGAACCACAGCTTCTGAACCCTGGGCAGTGGGTGAGTGTCACACCCTCACAGAGGTGCTGGGGGGGAGCAGCTTCAATCTGGACCCCTGGGACAGATCTGTCCCCAGCTCCAAAGGTGCCGGAAGCCCAAAGTCAGAGGCGGGAGTGGGCCCAGCATCACAATGAGGAAAAACCGGGCTGAATCAGGGGCCTCCCAAAGTCTGCCCCTGTCCCCTGTATGACGTCTGCTAGGGTGCTGGCCCGTTATTGTTCCGTACCATGCCCATCTCCCTGTTGACCCTGAGCTATCCAGGATGCAGTGCCTGGCCCTCGGGGATGATCGGTCACTGAGTGTGGGACACAAGGATCTGAGCAATGTCGCAATCCTCCGTGGAGCCCAACCTTTCTGTGGCCCACATGAGCTCCATGTGATAGGAGGAAGTCAGTATGTCTGTCTGTTACAGCATCCCAGCACCGTGGCTGGACAGATGCCAAGGGAGCACCTGGGTTGGCCTGGTTCCACGAGGGCATATGGCACCCATGAAATTCACTCTGGGAGACCCTAGGGGGGAGCCTCGCAAAGATGGACAAGCCACCAGGACCACACTGCTCCAGGACACACTGGGACACAGAGGACCTAAAACAAAGGGTGGTTTCAAACCTGAACTCCAGGTCAGCCAACCGTGAAGGGCAGGGTGGATCTGACAACTAGCTTCTGCTGGCACGCACAGCCAAACCAGTGTGTTGCTAGACAGCGTTTTCCACAAGTTTTCTCATCAAAACTCCCAGTAAGAAATATATTTCCCATCATCATCCAGAGTACATCTATGTATTTCAATTACTGAAGCAAAATCCCATGAACTGTCACCACCCCTCTCCTTGCACAGGGCGCTCTACTCTAGGCTACTTCACTTTTGCAAAACGCTAGTTGCAACCCATTGAACTGCTGTCACAACCCTCTGAGTTACAAGACAAACCTTGAAAAGTGACAGTTGATATATATATATATATAATGAAACTAGGGTTTCATTTATTTTTTGATAGCTGGTGATTTTTTTCTTGGCCCCACCAGAGGGACCAGCTGGTGGTCACACTAACAATAACAGCAATAAGAAATGTGATCATAACAGCCGTCCTCCATATGTGTTATGCTCGTTGTACTTCTCCGTTTAAAAAGCATGCGCCTGGGTGGTTCGGATGGTTGGGCGTCTGCCTTCGGCTCAGGTCATGATCCCGGGGTCCTGGGATCGAGTCCTGCATCGGGCTCCCTGCTCCTTGGGAGCCTGCTTCTCCCTCTGCTTCTCTCTCTCTCCCCCTCTGTCTCTCATGAATAAATAAATAAAATCTTTAAAAAAATAAAAATAAAAATAAAAAATAAAAAGCATGTTCACCATACACAAAAATAACTCAAAATGGATGAAAGACTTAAATGTGAGACAGGAATCCATCAAAATCCTTGAGGAGAACACAGGCAGCAGCAACCTCTGTGACCTCAGCTGCAGCATCTTCTTGCTAGACATGTCCCCAAAGGCAAGGGAAATAAGGCAAAAATGAACTATTGGGACCTCATCAGGATAAAAAGCTTTTGCACAGCAAAGGAAACAGTCTACAAAACCAAAAGACAACCGACAGAATGGGAGAAGATATTTGCAAATGACATATCAGATAAAAGGCTAGTATCCAAGATCTATAAAGAACATATCAAACTCAACACCCAAAGAACAAATAATCCAATCAAGAAAAATAGGCAGAAGACATGAACAGACATTTCTCCAAAGAAGACATACCAATGGCCAACAGACAGGTGAAAAAATGCTCAATATCACTCGGCATCAGGGAAATCCAAATCAAAACCACAGTGAGATACAACCTCACACCAGTCAGAATGGCTAAAATTAACAAGTCAGGAAATGATAGATGTTGTCGAGAATGTGGAGAAAGGGGAACCCTCCTACACTGTTGGTGGGAATGCAAGCTGGTGCAGTGACTCTGGAAAACAGTATGGAAGTTCCTCAAAATTTGAGAATAGAGCTACCCTACGACCCAGCAATTGCACTACTAGGTATTTACCCCAAACATACAAATGTAGTGATCTGAAGGGACACCTGCACCCCAATGTTTATAGCAGCAATGTCCACAATAGCCAAACTATGGAAAGAGTCCAGTTGTCCATCAACAGATGAATGGATAAAGAAGATGGGGTATATACACACAAAGAAAAAAAAATATATATATATATATATGGAATACTACTCAGCCATCAAAAAAATGAAATCTTGCCATTTGCAATGATGTGGTTAGAACTAGAGGATATTATGCTAAGCAAAATAAGTCAATCAGAGAAAGACAATTATCATGTGATCTCATTGATAGTGGAATTTAAGAAACAAAACAGAGGATCATAGGGGAAGAGAACAAAAATAAAACAAGGCAAAATCAGAGAGGGAGACAAACCATAAGAGACTCTTAATTATAGGAAACAAACTGAGGGTTGCTGGAGGGGAGGTGGGGGGGTGGGGTAACTGGGTGATGGACATTAAGGAAGGCATGTGATGTAATGGGCACTGGGTGTTATATAAGACTGATGAATCACTGACCTCTACCTCTGAAACCATTAATACATTATGTTAATTAATTGAATTTAAATTTTTTTTTAAAAAAAGCACGTTCAGGGGCGCCTGGGTAGCTCAGTCAGTTAAGTGCCTGACTTTTGTTTCAGCTCAGGTTGTGATCTCCTGGTGATGAAATCGAGCCCCAGGTCGGCTCCATGCTCAGCGCAGAGTCTGCTTCAGATTCTCTTTCCTTCCACCCCTCCCCCCCAAAATAAAGAAATAAAATGAAATCTTTAAAAAGCATGTTCAAAGGACAAATACTATATGATTCCATGTATACGAGGCCCCTAGAGTCAGATTCACTGAGACAGAAAGTAGGATGGTGGGTGCGGGGGGCTGCGGGAGGAGGAATGGTGAGTTAGTGTTTCAAGCGGACAGGGTTTCAGTCTGGGAAGATGAACAAGCTCTGGAGAGGGATGGTGGCAAGGCTTGCACAACAGTGTGAATGTGCTTAATGCCACTGAATTGTACACTTAAAAATGGCTAAGATGCAAGTGTCATTTTACGTATATTTTACCACAGTTTTTAAAAAACTAAAGGGCAAAGAAGCAGCTTCGCATCCATTCTCTCCCAACTTGGACCTCGCCATGGTCCTGAAAGTGAGCAGAGCAGGCAGTTGCTGCCAGCCCCACCTCCCAGACTCCTGGACGCCCCGGAGGTGACCAGAGCATCCCTCCCGGGAGTGCCAGCGCGGAGCCAGGCTCTTGTCACCCTATGCGGGGGCTCGGTCCCTCTTCATTGCCGCTGCTCACCCCACACCAAAGTGGGTTTCCGGATGGACAGTGCTTGGGCATTTGGGGAGATGGGAAAGGGGTCTCACGGAAACCCTTACTGTGTGCAGTATACTGACGCTATGCTCATGATGGTGACCTCTGGATAAAATCTATGAGGGTGTGAGGGTGTAAGTGTGAGAGAGAGAGAGCGTGTGTGTGTGTGTGTGTGTGTGTGTCAGAGAGAGAGATGACACCCATGAGGTGCTGGACATGGTGCATTAAACACTATTTTTATAATTGTATCATGATTCCCGAACTTGAACATCGGCTTCCTGCTTAACAACACCTGTTTCCTCCCCTGTTACCACCCCTCTCCCCAGCCTGGTCAGAACAGCAGCCCCAGCCCCAGCCCACTGAACGCAGGCAACTCCTGCCCCACTGGCATTTCGCCGCCTCCATGGCCTCTCCAGTCCCAGGGGAGAGGCTCCACAGACCCAAGTGCCCTCTGAGAAGGAAGGCAGAAGCAGGTGTGGCCCACCCAGGGCCCCAGGGGCAAGACCAGGCTTGCAGCTGTGGTGGGAGACGGTTGAGCTCTGGATGCCGACCACAGCAGGGCAATTGGCCAATGGCCCACTGGGAGAGACCCCCCGGAGTAACAGCCATGGGCCTTGGAGAGAAGGTTCAGGCAGAGGACCGGGCCACTTGGGCCAGGGAACACTGGGATAGCCACTGCCAGCAAGAAGAACTGGGGAAACTACTGACTCTCCTCCAGGGAGCTCAAACCTGCAGGTCCTTTGACCCTGAAGGCAAATGAGGCCAGGGACAGGTCAGGTGGGCTCTGAGGCCCCCTGGGGGCAGAGCCCTGGCCCCAAGCCATGCTGGCCCCTGCTGCTGCTGGGCTTGGCTGTGGGTGCCCATGGTCGGCTGCCCCCAGTGACAGTAGCCCCACCGAACAGCACCCCAGACCCTGGAGCCCCAGCAGGAAGCAGCTCTCGGAGCCTGTGGGACAGGTAAGGAACTGAAGGAGTCCTGGAGGTGAGGGAGGAGAGGGTCTTTGCAGCCAGAACTGGGACTGGGACACAGAGCGGCTATGCGGGGCACAAGAAGGACAAAGAATCAGTGAGAAGGGGGGGAATCCTGGACAGACACTGGCTTTATTTAAAGTGTGGACATTTTGGCCAGGGTGTATTCGTTTGTATTCGTTTGTTTTAGTATTGTATTAATATATTATTTGTCTTAATTACTGAGCTTTTTGGCACTCCTAAATTTTGCACCCAAGGCTAGTGCCTCACCCCGGTCTTCTGGGAAGAAACAGGAGGCAGGGGCAGGATGCCCACGTGGGTGGTAGGTGCTGTGACTGGGCCAGGGTGCCAAGGCCGCCTCCTCTTAGCTGATGAGCCACCTCCTTGCCCTTCCCCTGCTGGGCAGGGGCCACCCCCTGCGGCACTGGGGTGCAGGCTCCAGCCAATGCTTCTTTTCTTTTTTAAAAAAAGATTTTATTTATTCATTTGAGAGAAAGAGAGAGGGAGAGAGCACAAGCCAGGGGCAGCAGCAGAGGCAGAGGGAGAAGCAGGCTCTCCACTGAGCAGAGAGCCCGATGTGGGTCTCCATCCCAGGACCCTGGGACCACGACCCGAGCCAAAGGCAGCCGCTCAACTGACTGAACCACCCAGGCGCCCCTCCAGCCAGTGCTTCTTACGTCAGAGTGGGCCTTCTCTGCTGTCCCCAGGTCACCGGACCCTCAGCCAAGGACCTTCAGCCAGGGCCGCTTCCTGTGACTGACCCCCTAAAAACTCAAGCCCACCCAGGGTGCAAGCGCCTCCATGGGAAAGGCCCCTGCGAGGGTCTGTGGGGGGCCACGGTCCGCCACCACTTTACTGAGTGACCCCAGCGCCCTCCTCTCTGTGTGCGGTGGGAAGTCCCTGGACTAAGTGCCGAGCATCTGGGTCCACTTATGATAGTGAGTGACACAACAGCACGTTCACTGTGGGCACTAATCACTTCGGGGGCAGAACGTGCCTCAGCATCCCCACAAGGCAGAGCCTGCTGTCCTCCCCATTTTACAGATGAGGATAGAGGTCCAGAGAGCTGAGGGGACCTGCCCAGTGTCACACAGCCAGTGCAGACTCCAACAGGCAAGCCTGATGGCTGCCAGATCTTCCCACCCCCATCTCCTAACTAGTTGCCTACCTGCACAACGAGGGGTTCTAGTCGGGTGAGGGCCTTGTAGCCTGACACTCACCCCAAGGATGCTGGGGTTGCCATGGCGCAGGGCCGGAACAGGATGAGATGCTTCTGTTCTGTACTAGCAGGCCAGCCATGAAGGGTGGGTCAGCACCTGTGGGTGCCGGGCAAGGACTAGCATTTCAGCGTCCGGCAGGGCCCAGGGAAACACAAGGAGAGATGGAGCCCCCATGGGGGTTCAGGCCTTGTGCTGGGGCTGGGATCCCAGGGGAGTAAGCTTTGGCCCCAATTCAAGGTCCAGCGGGAGAGGGGGCTGGTGAAGCAGCAACCACACACAAGGACAACGGCGAGGTGGTACAGGCACAGAATGCTCAGGAAGCTCCCAGTGGTCCGCAGGGCTGGAACGAGTGGGTACTGGGGCCAAGATGGTCTGAGAGAAGGCTGAACAGGTGACCAGCCCCCGACATGGAGGACCCATCCCTGGAGGACAGACTTCATCTGGGGCATCCTGGGGAATGTTTGCAAGGAAGGGACATGACCAGACTTGGGTGGTTGAGGGTGGGAATCCTCCAGGGAGGTGGTTGCGTGTGGCCGAGAAGGCCAAGCGCAGCTCCGTCGAGCCCGGAGCCGGCCCCAGGGCCCGACAGGCGACAGGGCCCAGCAGGCCCAGAAGGAGCAGCAGCATGGCACCTGGGAGGGGAGGCAGAAGGGGAAGGAGAGGGGGGCTTGTGCCAGGGGCGGCCCCCAGATGCCCCGAGTTCCGAGACTGGGAGACGCGTTACTTTCACAGCCCTGCCCCCGACCCACAACTAGGACTCGGTTTCCTACACACCTGGACTAGGTCAGTGGTTCTCAAGCTTCAGTGGGCCTCAGTGTCATATAGAGGGCTTGCTGGAACACACGTTGTTGGGCCCCCGCCCCCAGAGTTTCCATTCATTTGGTTTAGGATGAGGCTTGAGAATTTGCATTTCTAACAAATTCCAGGTAATGCAGATGCTGGTCCAGGGACCACACTTTGGGAACCAGAAGATTAGGCCAGTGAGTCTCCTTTTTTTGTAAGAAACGAACCCCCTTCTCAAGTGAAAGCTCACACACCTGTACCACAGATACAAGCAGAAATGCTTTGGTGGAAGGGGGCTGGGCTTCCCCCCTCCCCACCTTGGCACCACAGAGGGTGGTCAGGGCGTCTGAGTTTCTTTCAGCCTGGTTTGCTAAATTTTCCTGTGGCTATTCTATGGACCTTGGCCTGCCCCTCACTTGGGCACTAGTTCTCTGTACCGATGGCCACTGTTTCAGCCCTCATATGGACAGGAAAGGAAATAGCTGCTCATTGACCCCTTTCCTGGCCTTTGACCCACAAGGGTCAGCCGCCACTCTGGACCTCTGGACTCCCCAGGGGCCCTTCTTGCAGTAAAGAAGTCAGAACAGTTGGGCTTTGACATAGCTCCCTCCCCATGGGAAAAAAAAAAAAGAAGGTAAAATAAACTATGGTATATCCGTAGAAAAGAATAAACGCATTATATATATGCATATATACATATATATATAGTGACCATAGTAACATAATGAAGATTTCTATTTTTATTTTACTTTAATTTATACAGAGTAAAATTCTCTCTTTTTGGTATAGTAGTTGTATAAATTTTAATAAAATCATAGAGTCATGTAACTACCACCACAGTCAAGATAGAGAGCATTTCCATCACCCGCCAAAATTTCCTTGTGTCCCTTTTGTAATCAGTCCCTTTCTCTGCCGCAACCATGGCAACCACTGATCTCTCTGGGACCCTATAGTTTTGCCTTTTCCAGACTATCATATAAATGGAATAGTGCAGTATATAAACTTTCTGTAAATTAAACTTTTTATTTTGAAATCATTGTAGATTCACATGTGGTTGTAAGAAACAATACAGGGGGCCCCATGTCCCCTTCACCTGGTTTCCCCCAATGGTAATGCCTCATAAAACTATAGTAAAATATCACAACCAGGGTATTGACATTGATACAGTTAAGGCACAGAACATTTCCCTCACCACAGATTCCTCATCTTGCCCTTTATTGCTACTCCCATTTCCGTCCCTTCCAATCACTTTCTTTACCCGCTGGCAACTACTAATTTGGCCTTCATTTCTAATTTTGTCATTTCAAGACTGTCCTATAATGGAATCATACAGTTTGTAACATTTGGTGGTTAGCGTTTTTCACCCAGCCTAATTTTCTGGACGTCCTTTCAGATTGTTGGGTGAATCATTGTTCGTTGCTCTTTTATAACTGAATAATAATATTCCAAGTACAGAACCTTTTGAGTCTGGCTTCTTTAGTTCAGTATAATGCCTTTGAAGTTCACCCAGGTTATTCCATTTGTCAATAGCTTGTTCCTTTCTATTGCTGAGAAGTATTCTGTCATTTTGTTTAGCCATTCACCAGTACAGTATTGAGCTGAAGGGGCAAAAACAGGCATCCTTGTCTTGTTCCTGAACTTGAGGGGAAAGCGTTCAGTCTTCCACCAATGAATATGATGTTCAACGTGGATTTTTTCATAGATGGTCTTTATAAAGTTGAGGAAGTTCCGTTCTACTCCAGGTTTTTTAAGTCTTTTGTCATGAAATTGTGTTGAATTTTGTCAAATATTTTTCTGCATCAATCGAGATGATCACATGGCTATCATCTTTCATTTTATTATTATGATATGTTGTGTTGATTGATTTTCTTAAGCTGAACCACCCTTGCATTCCTGAGATAAATCCCACTTGCTGTATGATTCTTTCAATATGCTGTTGGATTCACTTTTCTAGTATTTTATTGAGCATTTTTGCATGTGTATTCGTAAGGGATAGTTTGTAGTTTTCTTGTGATGTCTTTGTTGGGTTTTGAAATCAGGGTAATTCTCAAAGAATGAGTTAGGAAGTGTTCCTTTCTTATTATTTTTCAGAAGAGCTTGTGAAGGATTGGTGTTAAATTTTCTTTAAATATTTGGTACAGGGGTGCCTGGGTAGCTCAGTCGGTTAAGTGTTCGACTCTTGGTTTTGGCTCAGGTCATGATCTCAGGGTCATGGGATCGAGCCCCACCTCAGGTTCTGCACTCAGGGCAGAGTCTGCCTGAGAGTCTCTCTCTCCCTCTCCCCCCCACCAACCGCTCATGTGCCTGTATGCACTCTCTAAATAAATAAATAAATACAATCTTTAATAATAAATAAATATTTTGTACATACACACATGCATACATAAAAATATTTGGTAGGATTTTCTGGTGAAGCCTTTTGTCCTGGGCTTTTCTTTATGGGAACGGATTTTGATTACCATTTTAATCTCTTTAGTTATTATAGGCCTGTTCAGGTTTTCTATTTCTTTTTGAGTCAGTTTAGGTTGTGTGTGTATTTCTAAGAATTTGTTCATTTCAACTAGGTTGCCTGACTTGTTGGTATTCCATTGTTCATATTATTTCCCTATAATCCTTTTCAACTTTGCATGGTGTGTAATAATGTCCCAACTTCCAGTTCTGACTTTTTTTTAAAAAGATTTTATTTATTTATTTGACAGAGAGAGCAGCAGAGGCAGAGGGAGAAGCAGACTCTCTGCTAAGCAGGGAGCACAATGTGGGATTTGATCCCAGGACCCTGGGATCATAACCTGAGCCCAAGGCATATGCTTAACTGACTGAGCCACCCAGGTGCCCCAGTTCTGACTTTAATAATTGGAATCTTCTCTGTTTTGTATTTGTCAGTCTGGTAAAGATTTCTCAAAGCTGCTAAACTTCGAAGAACCAGCTTTTGGTTTTACTGGTTCTCCTTATTGTTTTTTATTCTCTAATTCATTCATTTCTACTCTAATCATTATTATTTCCTTCCTTCTGATAGCTTTGGAATTAACTTGCTCTTCTTTTTCTATTTCCTTAAGGTAGACTTAAGTATTGGTTTGAAATCTTTCTTCTTTCTTAATAGAGACATTTTTATAGCTATAAATTTTCCTTAGAGCACCACTGTCACTGAATCCCATAGGTTTTAGTGTGTTGGGTTTTCTTTTCATTCAACTGAAAGTATCTTTTAATTTCACTTGTAGTTTCTTCTTTGACCCACTGGTAACTTAAGACTGTGTTGTTTATGATTTTGACTACTCTAAATACCTCACAAGTGGAATCATGCGGTATTTGTGCACCAACATTACACAAGGTTTCCAAATTCTCCACATCCTTACCAACACTTGTTTCCTAGTTTGTTTTTTTAAAAGTAGCCATCCCAATGAGTGTGAGGTGGTATCTCATTGTAGTCCTAATTTGCATTTATCTAATGATTAGTAATATTGAGCATCTTTCATGTGCTTATTGGCCATTTGCATATCTTCTTTGGAGAAATGCCTGTTCAAGTCCTTTGCCCATTTTTGAATTGGGTTGTTTGTTTTTTTTCTTGTTGGGTTTTAGGAGTTCCCTGTATATTCTGGATATTAACCTTTTATTAAATATATGATTTGCAAATATCTTCTCTCATTCTGTGCATTGCCTTTTTACCCTGTAGATAACATCATTTGATATACAAAGTTTTGACATTTTCATGAAATCCAACTTGTCTAGTTTTTCTTTTGTTGCCTGTGCCTTCAGTGTCATATCCAAGAAATCACTGCCAATCCAATGTTGTAAAGCTTTTGTCCTATGTTTTCTTCTAAGAGTTTCATTGTTTTAGCTCTTATATTTATGCCTTGCATCCATTTTGAGTTTATTTTTGTATATGATGTTAGGTAGGAGTCCAACTTCATTCTTCTGCCCGTGAATATCTATGTTTCCCAGCACCATTTATTGATAAGACTGTCCTTTCCCCATTGAATGGTCTTGGCACCCTTGTCAAAAATCATTTCATTGTATGTGTGAGAGTTTATTTCTGGGCTCTCTGTTCTATTCCACTGGTCTGTATTTATGTCAATACCACACTGTCTTGATTATTGTAGCTTTATAGTAAGTCTCGAAGTCTTGTGGTGTCATTTCTCCAACTTTGTCCTTTCCTTTCAATTATTGTGTCAGCTATTCTGAGTCCTTTGCCCCACTATATAAACTTTAGAATCAGTTTGCCAATATCAACAAAATAATTTTCTGGGAATTTGATAGGGATTGCTTTGAAGCTACAGGTCTGGCCTGAGGATCGGGTAGTGAGAGCATTCTTGGTCATGTGTGACAAGATGAAGGCAGAAAAAGAGCTGGGTTGGGGGGAAAGGTGGTCAATCTCACTTGGATATGGTGAGTTTGAGATTCCTATTGAACATCCAGCTGGAGATGGTCAGTAGGCAATTTAGGGAGAGTCAAGGAGAGGGTTTAGAGCTGGACTAGACTTGAGCCTCACCAAATGGGCAGTAGTGGGAATCCACAATATAGGAAGATGGCAAAGAAGGAGGACTCAGGGTGCCTATCTGGGAGTCAGCTGCTATGCATGGGCAGGGGTGAAAGAGAAGTCAGGGGAGGAGAGTGGGAGGCCTCAGGTGCCAACAGGAAGAGAGTCACTGAAAACAGAGGCTGACTCTATGTTGCATCCTGTAAAGACATAATGTACAACAGGAACTGGGGAACTGCCCAGGAAGAGGGCCCTGTTGGCCCTGACTTGAGAGCTTTCAGGGAGAGATGGAGATGAAAGCCAGGGAGGCCCTCCATGTCCCAGCATATGAAACAGTGCCTGGAGCTACTTTCGGATGGATAGATGGGTGAGTGGATGGATGGATGGATGGATGATGGATGATGGATGGATGAACACCATGGACAGATGCACAGACAGGTGGACAGAAAACCAGTGGTCTGAGAGATCACAGAAAGCTTCATCAAAGAGGTGGGATTGCATTGTGTCTTGATGTGTAGAGAAAAAGTGGGGGGTCTTCACATGGGAGTACAATGAGTCAGGAATGACCCAGTCCCAGACCAACCAGTAGGCCCAGGAGGGAAGCTACCTGGCTGGACCATGGGAAATAGGAGGAGAGGAACCCACAGAAGCTCTAAATGAGACCATCAGGCAGGTCTGAGCCAGGTCAGGACTCACTCTGCCACACCACATGCGAGGACGAGGCACCCAGAGATTTACTAAACACTTACTCCATGCAGTGTCACCATCAGCACTGAGGATTAGGAGGTGACCAGGACAGCCTTGGAAAGGGGGGAAATATATAAGACATGGGTACAGTCTGCCTCAATCAGGGGGCTGGGCATGGGGACACCTCTGGGCTGTGGGCTCATCCAGGTGTGCCACAGCCTCTAGGAGGCTGGCTGCCCAGCCCCACCTGCAACAGCCTTATGCCCATCACAGGTTCCTGTTCTGGCCTGGCCCCCGGGGGGCAGGCCCCAGGTGCTGGCCCGGTGGGTTTTGGCCCGAAACTCAGTCACCCTGGTTTGTTTTCAGTGAAGGAACCCAGCTCACCGTCCTAGGTAAGTGGCTCTCACCACATTTCCCAACCTGCCCCACTCCTCTGTTGTGTTGGGAAAGTTACTTTTCTTTGGGGGCTGCTCCCTGTCTGCCCTCCCAGCCTTAAGGATTGACCTTCTAGCAGATCTGTGGGATCTGGGGGAATTGGATTGGTCTCGGGGAAACCAGCAGGAAGGACCCCAATGGTACAAGCATTTACCTTTAAAATCTGACAGTTGAATGTGTCCAGATTCCAGGGTCCTAGGCTGGGGGTGGATGATCCAAAAATGGGGGCTCCTTCCCTTCTTCCAGGGCAGACACCTGTGTGGGGTCCAAGGCTAGTTCTGACTAGGGGCCCTGGGTTAGCCTTAGAGAGTCCCTTGGGGTCTTGGCTGCTTGCTTGATGCCCATCCAGGCTAGAAGGACCACACAGGAGGCTGGGGACATGGCTGGGGCTGTGAGCCCAGCCTCTGGGCACACAGAGGGGCAGCCCAAGGGGAGCCCCATGGGAGGGGGACAGAACAGTCTGGTTTGCTCTAGGCTGAAGTGCTGAGGGCCTCTGCTAGGCCGTGGGGACATGGGGACAGAGACAAGAGCGATGCAGGGCAAGGTGACCAGAAACACAGCCCTCCTAGGATGTTGGTCAGAAGGGAGCAGGTACCATGGGGCAGAGTCTTACCTGTCCCTGGAGACTCAAAACCCCCAGGTGTCTCACCTGTCCAAGGGGTGGCCTCCTGCCTTCCTCAAAGGGTACTTTAGACTCAGAAGATGACAAAGTGGGGAGTGAGTGGGGGCTCAGAGATATACACAGCTGCCCCTTAAAGTCAGGAATCATCAGAGGTGCTGAGGTGGCCATGGGGCCCCACCTTGCCTGTCGTCTACAGGGAGTAGCCCCAAGAAGCTGCAGAAGTGAAGGGTCCTGTGGTCAGGGCAGGAGAGATGTGGGAGATGGCAGAGCCTTGGAGTACCCAGCCTTCCCAGGAGGCAGGGAGAGAGCTATTCCTGAGGGGGAGAGGGGCGCCTTGCCCCACCGGGTGCAGGGCTCAGGACCTCCATACATACCATCAGAGTTGTCCTGGCAGGCTGAGTAAGGGGCTCCAGTTCACAGGGGAAGCACCTGGATCCAGAAGAATGAAGTGATATGGGGCCCAGATGCTGGGCTGAGAAGGAAACTGAGGCTGCAGATGCACCTCTCACACATCTGGGAGAGGTGACATGGAAGAGCTGCTGGGAGCATGGGGGGCTGCCTGCTGTCCAGGGCTGGAGTGGTAAGGAGGATCCCCTGGGTGAACAGACATGGCCACCATGGGAACAGTCACAGAGGCTGTAGATAAGGGAAGGGCTGCCCAACACCGGGACTCTCCCTGCATCTCTCACTCTCTCCTCTGTCCACACAGGTCAGCCCAAGTCTGCGCCCTTGGTCATGCTCTTCCTGTCATTCTCTGAGGAACTCGGCGCCAACAAAGCCACCCTGGTATGCCTCATCAGTGACTTCTACCCCAGCAGCTTGAAGGTGGCCTGGAAGGTAGACAGCAGCAATGTCACCCAGGGCGTGGAGACCACCAAGCCCTCCATACAGAGCAACAACAAGTACGCGGCCAGCAGCTACCTGAGCCTGTCGCCTGACAAGTGGAAATCATACAGCAGCGTCAGCTGCCTGGTCACGCACGAGGGGAGCACCGTGGAGAAGAAGGTGGTCCCCGCAGAGTGCTCTTAGGTCCCCGACACCCAAGGGGGCCTGGAGGCACAGGACCTCCAGGAGGACCTGCCCTCCCACCAGGGTCATCCCAGCGCTTCTCCCTGCACCCGCTCGACACTCAATAAAATGTCCTTTATTCAATCAGCAATCGTGCTCTCTGCTCATTGCTCTTCAAACACTTTTTGACCTGAACTCAACCATCCTCAAATGTGAACACAATTCTTTTCACCCTCTGGGAAAGGAGTCAGCAGAAGGCATCGTCATGTTTTTGCAAGGGGTAGTTTTACTCTCACCCAGAATTGCCAGAGAATATTCCAGAACAGGAGATACCAACAGCAGAACCAAGATAGGCCATCCTCCACCATGTCTCTATGCTTACTTTTCGTGCATGGACCACGTCAGTCACCAGCAGTACCAAAACCCACTGCTCTTGGTTCCCTGTGGACTCCTGGGTAATGTCTGAGCTCCTCCTTGGACCTGGGGCCTCACCGTCAGGGACTAGCTCTCTCCTGAGATGTCCACTCTCCTTTCCTGGTAGGCCCCCACTCGACGCCATGTTTTCTCTGGTTTCCTACCCCATATGGACCTTCCCCATCATCATAGCCTAGAGTATCCCCTCTTTCTTAGCAGTCCCCCTGCTCCTGCCTCCCCAGTGACACCGTCCCGTGCCCCTCCCACAGATGTCTCTGTCACACTCACCACAGGACCCTCAGTCCCTGGACCCTAGTCGCTCAATCTCACACTCCCACTGAGGGCTCCTCCTCCTACGTGTGTCATGGGGGTCCCAGCTGCGTTCAAGGTCCTTGGGAGGCAGGGACCCTGTAGAGTCCAATCCGTCACTGACCCACCACAAGCACTAACCCAAAATGTCCATGGGTGGTCACTGTCAATGTCAAGTTTACATTCTGGACTGCGCCCTGGACAACTGTGGACTGTGAACTGGTTCACCTTCTTAGGAGTTGGGAATGGGCCCTGAGAACCAGGAAGACTGCTGTGCTGGGAGCTAGCTCAGGATGGCGGGTCCAGGCTCCGCGTCCCACAGACAGACTGGACACGTACACACGCACGATCAAGTTGCATGCACACGCTAGTACACACGCATGCGTGCTATTGTACACACGGCCATGTGGGGCCTGTGCCTAGAACGTGTGGTAGCATCCAGAACCGTGGGGTCTGTGCCTAGGACGTGTGGTAGCATCCAGAACCCTCCATGGGCCCCAGCTCAGCAGAGGGCACAGGCCCCATCATGTCTGTGTTGGAAAGAGGACTGTCAGTTCTTCCAGGTGACATTCCCCAAGCAAGCTGAGCCACAGACTGAGCTCATTCCAGGAAGTTACCTGGGATGTGATATGTCACTCAGACATTCCCTCTGACCCCTCCATGGCTGGGGATGCGGGGAAGCTCACCCCACAAGGAACTGAAGATGCAGGGGGGAGGGGGGCCCCCCTCGCAAGCTCCCATGGGCCAGACCAGCCCCCACAAAGAGGAGGCTGGACTTTGAGCCTCCCAAGCAGCTGCAGGTGGGCCTGGGTCAGGAAGTGGGGGTTGTCACGGGTGACAGAGGGTTGTGTTCGAGGCTGTATCACCGTGTTATGTGTTCAGTGGAGGGACCCAGCTGACTGTGCTTTCTCTCTCTTTGGGGACCAAAGTGAAATTTGGATTTGAATTTCTCTCCTTTCCATTCAGTCTAGGACTGGGTTCTGAATCGCTCTGGCATTCTGGAAGCTTCAGCTTCTTGTCTGGCCATCTCACCCCCTGTAGCCTGCTCCTGCTCTGAAGCACCTGGTGGAGACAGGATGCACCGGTTCCAGTGACCCGCCCCCCCGCCACACGCCCCTCCTCGCTGTGACTCAGAGCTGCTTCTCCAGTTGACCATCTCCTCTGGCCTCTGGGTTAGTAGGAATCCTCAGTTTTCCTTCTGGGGTAGTTTCATTCTTACCCAGAATAGCCCAGAGAATGTTCCAGAATAGAAGGTAAGCCAGCAGGACAGCCCATCCTCTGCTCCCTCCCTATATTCATCCTCCTTGTGTGGACCATGTCCACCCCGAGCAGTCTTGGGGCCCATTGCCCATGGCTCCCCATGGCCTCCCGGTTAAAGGTTAAGCTCCTCCCGGAATCCTGGGGTCTCACAGGCTGGGACTGTGAGGCAAGAAGCCTCTCCTCGGAAGGGAGGAGAGCCTGAAAGGTGGATACCGTGTTAAAGACAGACAGACCCAGCCAGCCAGCCAGAAGCCCCATATGAAGGTACGAGGGAGAGTTACCTGGGGGGGAACTCAGACGGACCGATGCTGGAGGACAGATGGATTTCTCCAGAAGCTCTAAGGTCTCAAGGCTGATGCCAGCCAGGAACAGGGCAGCTCAGGGGTGGGATGGCGAGTTTTGAGGACAGGTGAACCCGCAGAGGGACTGAGACCAAAGAGAGGGTGCCAGGGCTCCCCTGATTTGGGCACTGGGATGCTCCCAACAGACCTGGGGTCACACCTGTCATCCCCAGCCCTGCTCCCAGCACCCAATCAGCTCTCAATAAAATGTCCTTTTGTCAATCAGAAATCATGCTCTCTGCTAATTTTTTTTTTTGGTCTCAGATTTAATTTGCAGCCTCTCCAGGATTTTCAGGGTGAGATGCATGGGATCCTAGGCGCCCGGTAGGAAAGTAGCCCAAGAGGAGAGGCTCACAGTCTCCCTGGGGCATCTCCCGGAAAACTGGCTGGGGCATGAGGAGTCTGGCCACTAGAACCTCAGTCCCTCTGTCCTGGCCCTCCACCACTCCTCCTCCGGCACAGAGCCATGCCCACTCCCTGCTCTCTCTCTGGTCGGAGCGGCCATGGCCGGTGACCTCCAGATCAGCCCTCCCTCCCTGACCTTGTGGGGACCCTCCACACCCTGGAGGGTCCTCTCTTTCCTCAGCCTGGAAACCCTGCTCTGGCCTGGAACCCCTCCGCTCCTGGCCCTCGCCCCCCGTACGCCCTCCTCCCCCCACACTGCCCAGCTCAGCTTCTGCCCACCTTTACCCCCTCCCCGTCGCTCGCTCAGACTGGACCACCCATGGGGTCCAGGACACCCCAGTAGCTCGGCTTCACAGGCTCTTGAATCTGGGGGCCACTTCGATTCCTCACCAGATGGCAGGTTCAGAGATGTGAGGAATAGGAGGAAGCCAGGAAGGAAACTGTCGCACACAAGGCCTGCCGGGGGAGTCGGGCACCAGCAAAATAAACTCTGAGCTCCCCAGGAACCAGTGCAAGGAGGGAAATAGGTGCCCTATAAGTTCTCTGGAAAGGGATACCTGCTGGAGGGAAACTGGTGTCTCAATGCTGAGGCCAGGCGTCTTGTACCATAATAAAAAGTGGGGACCTGTTTCACCCGAGGCCTCCCCTCTGATGGGACTTGGGCTCTGACATGCACACAGATGACCACCTGGCAGCCTCAGGATACGGCAATGACCATGAGGACGCTACCACTGCTTCTGCACGGGGAGCCCCCCCCCGCCCCGTGTTCCTGTCTCCGTTGCCACCAGGTCACCATGGCCCCGCGGGGCGGGGATGCCTACCTACTTACAGTCCCCTGATTTGGCCCAGTGCAGCCCAGCCGGGCAAGCTCCTGCCCCTGGATCCAGAATGGACCCTTGGCGCCACGTCACAGCGCCCTGCACCCACTGCACGTCCAGGCCACGGCCCCTCTGCCTGATGGCCCCTTGGGCATTCCGGGGCCTGTGAGCCACTGTCCCGCTCGTGCCCCAGCTCTGCCAAAGAAAGATGGGGAACTGTCTCAGGTGTGTGGCTCAGAAAGTCACCTGCCATCCTCTGGGGGAAGGGAAGGCATCGTTTATTCCGAATCCTCTCCACCCAACCCTGGAAGTCACTGGGAAAAGCAGGGTCAATCTGGGGACTTTCTGGGGGGCGCTGTGGGGCTCTGGGGGTCTGGGGTTCCGGCTGCTCTTGGACATGAGGGGTGGCGAGTGGACCCAGCCCCAGCACCCTCAACCCTTTGTGCTGGGCCCCTGGGCTCCCGCTCCCCCCTGCACTCTGGCAGGTGACAGGGGGTAGGTTAGGTGTGTCACTGTGGGCGGTGGCCATGGACGGGTTGACGGTGACCCCCTGGCTGAGTGCTGCTTGAGGCTTGTGCTTTACCTCATGTGATGCGCAGACCAGCCCCGGAGGCAGGCACTGTTACCCCCACACCTTACAGATGAGGAGAACTGAGGCTCCCTGAGCGCTGGCGGTCTGCTGAGGTCCAGGTGGTCAGAGCCACAGAGAGGGTGGGCACCCAGGCCACTCCCGCACCCCAAGGTCACCCTCCTTCCTGAAGAGATCATGACTATACCAAGCCAGGAGAAGGTGCTGAGCACACAGACCCCCTCAATCTCCAGAAATCAGAGCTATCCTTAAGGATCTGTGGGGTGGAACGATCTGGGCTCCTTGGCCCTCTGGTCTCAGACGGTGAGAAAAAGATCAGCACTGGAACGTGGTGAGTGCGGCAGCGGCCCTGTGTGTGAGTGTGTGTGAGTGTGAGTGTGTGTGTGTGTGTGTGAGTGAGCGTCTGGAGCTGCGGGTGTGACTGGCTATGAGTGTGGTGTGTGGGTTTGTGCCTATCCCTCTGCACCTCACGGGCAACTTCTCAGGAAACAGGGTCAGTCAGTGAGCTCTGCACACTAGAAGCAGCCCCTCTGTACCACAGCCACGGACCCAGGGGTCTCCCCCTACTCCCTCCTTCTACTAGACCCGCAGGCTCAGGGAGGTGCTGGCCACTTCCTGACTGTCTCCAGAGGCCTCCTCCCTCTGACTCTCAAGTTCCCAGGGCAGGCTCCACACTGCTGTCCTCTCAGCCAGGGGGTATCTCAGTAGGCCCACAAACCCTCCAGCATGCTGAGTCTGAGCTCCCCCGGAGGCCTGAGATCTGAGGGTGTCAGAGCCTGTCAACCGGCCCCTCGAGGGCCACAGACTCCTGAACAAAGCAGAGGCAGGTGTTGTATGCCCATTTCACAGACAAGAGAGCTGAGACAGCACAGCCCCATCGAGTGCCCTGTGGGCCGGCCTTGGCAGAGGCACGACGATGGGACCCGTAGTCCCCCGGCTGACCTCACCAGGGGCCACACCCGGTGGTCACCATGGGGTTCCTGGTCTCCGTGGGCCCCAACCCAGAGCCCCC